GATTTATTTTTTAATAGCCACACTCGATTACGGCGATTTTCTTGTTGCCCCAGCTGGTCGACACCTCTTTTAGCAGAAACAAAGGCTACATTAATGTATTAAATCGATGTTAATCCATGCGTGTAGATGTGGAATTAACGGACGTGACGTTGTGCGATTGAGTTGCCAGGCAACAGCTTCGGTTTATGTTAATTTTAGGGCTGTCAAGTTAACGCGTTAATAACGCGTTAACGCAAAAAATGTTTAACGCCACTAATTATTTTAACGCGATTAACGCATGTGTATTTTTTTCCTCGGCCGCCCCGTAGTTTCAGAGCGCATCGAGTTTAAAATACCGTCTACAAGCTGATGCTGACAGCCCCGCTCCTGCTGCCTGCTTGCAGCAGACCACACTTCCACGCTCACCGGCAGGCACCGACTGGCTGTTGGGAGGACCGGGAGGGTGTGTGTATGTGTGGCCCGAGCGAGCGAGAGAGAGACCTTACGTGCATTGTTGTTGTTAGCATCTGGTGCTAGCTAGCTGCGCTAACGGATATGGAGCTGTTTAAATGAAAACAGAGGAGCGACATTTCGCCACAACTGCGCCGAGCACTTGACTTTATGCAGGAAGCCAGACAGTGGGACATTGTACGAAAAGTCAGCACACTCAGCACGAATAGTGCGCAACATGATTGCAGCGTCCAGGCAGCTCCCGTTCGAGCATATGCCTTGTGTTGCACATAGCTCCAACGATCCATCACACACACACACACACACACACACACACACACACACACACACACACACACACACACACACACACACACACACACACACACACACACACACACACACACACACACACACACACACACACACACACACACACACACACACACACACACCATTTGTATTGTATTATTGTATGAGAGAGGTTCCAGGTTGAATTGAGGCGAATATTTGTAATGTTCAGAGGTTGTTGTGTTTAATATTCATGAGAATATTTGTCATTGTTCAAATGATAATAAACATTAGCATAAAGCATATTTGTCCACTCATATGTTGATAAGAGTATTACAAACTTGAAAAATATTCCTCTAAGGTACATTTAGAACAGATAAAAAATGTGCGATTAATTTGCGATTAATCGCGATTAACTATGGACAATCATGCGATTAATCGCGATTAAATATTTTAATCGACTGACAGCCCTAGTTAATTTACAAACTATTTATCAACTACAACCGTAGTTATATTTAAAAACATGTTAGAAGGCCTCACGAAATACTTTAATGCAAATTAAAATGTAAATGTTCAGCTCGATGATTGGATGGTTATCCGCAATGCATGCTGGGATTTGGTGTTTATGTGATGTGAAATCTGAAAACGTTTTTTAAAAATACAATAATACTTTATTCCGAGTGTGCTTGCTTTTCTCTTTGGAGGTCATCACATAACGGCATTGTAATACACGGTTCGGCTGAATTAAATATTACATATCTGCCGTAATTCTCTATTTATAGAGCCCTGCTGAGAAGACTTCTAGACAAACAGGAGAACTGCCGCCAAAACTGAAGATGTGACGTGGATCATAAATATATAAGCAATTATACAACATCTTACATTTATTTTTCACACAATGCGTCTCCTTGCAGTATCAACACTAATTCGGCTGACTTTTATATTTGATCCAATTGGTAGATAGGCTGTATTTACACCATAAAGGTGCACAGCTGATATAAAGGGACACCTGGTGGTCAAAGCACGTTATTGAATTTTATTATTTTATTATTAGATATGAATAGGATCCCTATAAAGTATATTCATTACTCGTTATTCTCTACTAATAGTTCATTAAAGACTGTATATAATGACTAGTTTGCACATCCCTTTCAAGATTTTCTAAGCTAAGGTTTATTGACATATCATATTATACACAACTACTGTGTAGTTATGCAATGAATGAAAAACTTGGGTCGCAGGTTCCTCAACAGTGCATTACAAGACATCTATCAATATGTGTTTATACTCCACCATTAAACTGTCATTCTGCACATTTCTTATACTATCGACATACATCTTATAAGAGTATAATACATATGTATAATATCAGTTTAATAATAAACAAATAATAAACAAATAAGTGCTTAAACATAGTTAACATTGCAGGAAAGCAATATATTAGACGTTAAGTACTTTGTCAGGCTTAATATTTATCTGTAGATACAAATGTCACTGTGTGTGCTCTGTGCTCTGCATGTGTGTGACCATTAAAGAATCAGAATACCTTTATTAGTTCCACAGAGGGGAAATGTGCAGCGTTACAGCAGGAAAGAGCCACAGACAGCTTAGTGTTGCATATCTTACATGCGTTAAAAAGTACTAAGTTAGAATAAAATAAACAATATGCTAAAAAAGTACTAAGTTATAATATAATAAACAATATGCTAAAAAAAAGATAAAAAGTTACATAATTTTCAAAAATACAGATCAAAAACAAAACGGCATATATATATATTGATTTAGTGGCCAGGTATAAATTACACAGTTATTAATGGCATATATATATTGCACATATAGCACATATTGCACAAAGTTGGTTTGTATTTAGCAGCAAGGGGTGTTATAGTCTGTGTTGTGGTTTGTGCAGTGCTGGTTGTAAAGTCTGACCGCTGCAGGAAGGAAGGACCTGCGGTTTCAAGAGGGTTTCATCCCTCCATATTCTTCTTAAAGCTTTTTTCTTATTCAAAATAAGACCTTAACCTAAAGTACTCTTTAATGTTTAAATTAAGCCTTATTAGTTTGTCTGTTTTGCACATCCTCCTATTAATATCTAATAATACAATTCAATAACGTGCTTTGACCACCAGGTGTCCCTTTCTATCAGCTGTGCACGGTTATGGTTTAAATACAGCCTATCTACCAATTGGATCAAATATAAAAGTCAGCCGAATTAGTGTTGATACTGCAAGGAGACGTATTGTGTGAAAAGAAATGTAAGATGTTGTTTAATTGCTTATATATTTATGATCCACGTCACATCTTCAGTTTTGGCGGCAGTTCTCCTGTTTGTCTAGAAGTCTTCTCAGCATGGCTCTATAAATAGAGAATTACGGCAGATATGTCATATTTAATGCAGCCGAAACCGTGTATTACAATGCCGTTATGTGATGACTTTCAAAGAGAAAAGCAAGCACACTCAGAATAAAGTATTATTGTATTTTTAAAAAACGTTTTCAGATTTCACATCACATAAACACCAAATCCCAGCATGCATTGCGGATAACCATCCAATCATCGAGCTGAGGATCTTGCCTACGTCTGTTTCCGGTTTCGTTTAATGACCGATGTATTTTGTTATACACACATTCCTTCACATTTACATTTGAATTTGCATTAAAGTATTTCGTGAGGCCTTCTAACATGTTTTTAAATATAACTACGGTTGTAGTTGAATAGTTTGTAAATTAACATGAACCGAAGCTGTTGCTTGGCAACTCAATCGCACAACGTCACGTCCGTTAATTCCACATCCACACGCACGGATTAACATCGATTTAATACATTAATGTAGCCTTTGTTTTTGCTAAAACAGGTGTCGACCAGCTGGGGCAACAAGAAAATCGCCGTAATCGAGTGTGGCTATTAAAAAATAAATCATTACGTCGGGGTAGCATTTGCTTGGTATTTCTGGTTATTTCTCCACTGGTTAACATGGGTTAACAATACCGTGTAGCTGTCACGTTTGAAGGGGACGAAATCGTGACATCTTCACGTCTCCCAGCATGGTAAATCGTCACATGTTCACGTCTTGCCGTGATACCGGGTTGATGTAATTACATTGCAAATACTGACTTGAGCCCCACCACTGTATGGGTTAGCCCTACCATAGATTACCCAACAAAAATACTCTGGTGCCGCCATTGCCTCCTGCAGAGATGGCAAAAGTACACACTTACTCAAGTATAAGTACAAATACTCGTGTTTAAAAATACTCTGGTAAAAGTGCAAGGACTGACTAAACTAGGGTGACTCTACCTCTTCATTGGAAACAACACAACAATTATTATGGTAATAATTTTAAAAAAGTGTCCCCCCTTATCAAAAAAGTAAAATCTTATAGGCCTATAAGGGGGCCCTTATCAGAAAAGTATAATTTTTACAAGGCGGGGGCTACATTTTATATAAGAGGGGATATATAAGTTAATGCTTATTATTTGCTCCATCATAGTGTCGTAGTGTGTTAATGCCGGTTTTCTGTGTTCATTTGCAGATAGTAAATATATATCCCTCACCTGTTGCCACGGACCTCCTTAGTGATAAGTGATTATTTGTGCCCTTTACATGCTCCCATTAGGCCCCTTAATTAGCCAATTCAAGGGTGTCTCGTATCACGTTACGCAGATGATATCCAGATATATTTATCTTTCAAACCCGTCAAAACTGAGAATTTAAACACCCTGATTATATGTCTGTCTCTGCAATTGAGGAGTGGGTGTCAAGCAACTTCCTACAGCTCAATGCATCGAAACCGGAAGTCTTGATCTTAGCGGATGATAACATCCTCTAAGAGGTATAAGCCACCTGGGTAACGTTACACTCAAAAAAAGGACTTTGGCTGGCTGTTACATCAAATAAAATGTAACATGTATTTTCAACGTAATAATTTCATGTTTCCAAGATGAACGTGATGAAAACATGTATGGTTTGCATGAATCGCAACAACTTCACATTTATTAGATTCATTCATGTTGAGATAAACTAACACAAAGGGATTAGGGTACATATGATTCCCACTCCAGAGCAGAAGGTGGCGGTATAACCACCAATAAACTGGATACCAACTAATGTAATCAGAGACAAAAATCAATCTACTTTTAAATGTTCACGGTTGTAAAGATGTGAAACGACAAACAATAAGACATGCTACATTCTTGACTGCTCTTGGACACTTCCATGGATGTATTAAGAGAACTCTGCCAGACTCAGCCAGCCATTGTTTTATTTTGTCCGCGATCTGGCGGGAAAGGTTTTTCCCTGCATCCTGTGTGCACTCGCGATATTTGGGTTTAACCGTAAACTTAACCATCATCATCGCGAGAGAGGATCATTCAGACAAGAAAGACCGATGGCGAAAGTTGGAGGAGGTAAGCAGAAAACATTGTCATCTAACTGTGAAGCTGTTACTAAATGTCATCAACTGCTAGTCCATGAGCGATATTGTGGTAACGTTGATAGTTAATTTGTTATTTAGTGTTCTTTTTTATCTCACTTAAAAAGCCGAATGAGCTGACGAACATGCTAAAGCTAAAGCCGTTAACTAGCTAGTCTGTGTAACTGCCAGTTAGGGAGATGGTTCAAATATAGGATATCAGGATTGAAAACTAAATGACGGAAGCATTACCCTGAGAAAGTTAAACGAAAAGTGTGCAACCCCCGGCGCTTATATGTCAGTAATATCAGCCCCTTTTACAAAGGAATGTTGCGCCGTTATTCGAGTAGCATGAAGCTGCAGCGTCGGAGACGACACTTGTAGAACCACACACACAGGTCCCGCGTCACGAGCACACACACAGGTCACGGCGGCACGTGACGGAGCACGTTCACATGAATGTGAACGTCAACGCAGAGAATGTGAGTAATGTGAAGTGCTTTTACAGTTTTATTTGTTTAACATTAATAACAATTCCGGTGTCTTGAAATGAAGTGTGATTAGCCAACATTAACTATGATAGTGTTAAGGCAATACAAACAAACATCTGTTTGCTTATGATAGCTTCTAACCGTATTAAAGTCTCTAAAAACAACTATTCATTAGCTATAGCTTTCGGCAAAAGCATTAGCAAAAGCATTAGCTCGTTAGCATATTTGATCATTTGTTTAATGAAACTAGCGTGATTTTGGCAAGCCCAACTAGGTGTCATAGTTGAGTAATTTAATCACTAATTACAGTAATAGTGTGAGTAATGTGAATCATGTTTTTTTTTTTTAAGTTAACAACTATTCTGTTGTATTGAACAGCCATACAAGCAACAAGTGCTAAATGTCATCTGTTAGCCTATGATGACTCGCTGCAAAACCAACTGTTAACCATTTTGTTTATTTGTTTAATGAAACTGTATGTTATGGTTATGTTATTTGACAGAGGCTTTTATCCAAAGTGACTCACAAAAAACATAAAATAACCATAATTAACATTAGAATTTCAATACAAATAGTTACATAGTCAAGTTACATTACTTATTACATTTTTAACAGGGTAATTACTCATCTGTAACCTACTACATTTAAAAAAGTAAACTTCCCAACCCTGATGATTAATTATAGTCAGCTAATTAATTAAACTTCAACGGATGACAAAAGCATGTCAATATGTCCACTACATTAAATCAGCAGTAGCCTAAGTTCTGTCTTCAGTGTAAATGCTTCTTTAATAGTCATTGTATTACAATTTGAATTCATTGTAAATAATCTTCACTGTGCTGACTGCCTGTTTACCGTTTATCAGACAGTCTCATCATTTCGACATGTTTTGTAATATTGCATGAGGTGTTTTAGTCAGTTATGTCGGCCTATTATGTAGGTTAGAATCTGTCGTGTCAGAATCAAACAATTAGGCCTAATTTATGTCTGTCTGTGTAATTGTTTCAAAATGTTCAGTTTGACCAATTAGGCTCTCTCTTTTTCAAGATGCATATTACAATCCGAGAGGGGAGATCCTTGCCGGACCTTCAACGGTGCACGACGTGTTGCAATGACTTCCACTGCCCGTTCTGTGTCTCTCGTTTATTCTCTCCAACAAAACACTGCAAGGTGAAAAGCCATCTCGAGAGCCACTTCCAGCGTGCAGTTCTCCATGAAGGTAAAGTTAGCTTACATTCTCTTGTGAAATGCAAATGGAGTTGCAATGTGTCTGCATTAAAAGCAGCCTAAATGTTATGATCAGTTCCATTTGAGCAATACATCAAAACAAGTCCTATGATTTGTTTGTGGTGACCAGTTACTTGATCCAGATGTTTGGTATTCATAATTTACACTTTTAAATAATATGATCACAAAATAATAATACTACAATTCTATGTTCTTATGTTTAAGGGTATACCATTCACAGATGTGGATTAAATTGCCGACCAGACTATCATTTTCACTGCTGCTACTGCCAATCCATGCATACTCGCAAATCTGGCTTTGTAAAGCACCTCGCTTTGTGCAAGGCAAAGCACTCTGCCATAACCCCCATCATCCCAGATCCAGCAATCCCCATCATCCCAGATCCATCAACGCCCGTCATCCCAGATCCAGCAATCCCCATCATCCCAGTGCGAAAGATGCAAAGGGTCCGTGTAGAGCCTGTACTCAAGAAAAAATGTCCCATATGCCATGTTCTCATGAATAATTTTTTTTTGAAAAGGCACATGGAAAGAAAGCACTCTGCCAAACAAAAGGACATAACCGCAAGTTCACACCTACCGAGTGAATGCATAGATCCTGAACATGGAGTCTATGCTGTCCACAAAGCCTTCCATGGAACAAGTATTCCTCTGCATGTTCAGAATAAAGTGTGGGGAGAAAATCAGCATGTGTCTTGTGAAAATAATGAGTGCCAGGTGAACCTGGAGTTGGCATGGAGGAGTGGAATTAAAGCCTATCAATGTACACATTTAAAATCCATAACCTACTGTTCATCCTATGCCTCCCCTATTGAGCTTGATGAAGATATTCTAACGGAGATGGTGAACAACAAATGGTTTGGTGAAGATAAAAAGAGCCTCTGCCTCGTTCGGCAAAACCTTGCCAAATGTAACCACGTCCCTTTATCTGTGTACTCGAAAACTGGAACCCCGAAGACAACAAAATATGTATCCGTATATGAGCCTACGGTTTCATATTACAGTCGATTGGGAAGAGTCATGGTGTCGTACGACACAAAGAAGAATTTGTGGCACTGTCCTTGTGCCAGGACTAAGATATCATGCCCACACAAATACATTGCAAAATGGCACTTATTTCAGACACACCGTGAACTATTCAGGAAAGTCAGAAGCACAGAGGAGGTGGAATGCCTGAGTGCAGCAGCAGCAACAGAGGACGAACACAGTCATGATGAGGCTGATCTGGGCGATGTTCCATATCCACCAAAAGATGTCCAAAAATTGAAAGGCATGACCCAATATATTCTGAGTCACAAAAAGTTACCTGCTGTCCTGCCAGAACATTTGCGGCTTCCAGTGGAAGTGCAATATCCAAGGCACCTCATTCCAGAGGAGATGATGTGCCAGCACTGCCCAGGCAACGGCACTTGGGCTTGCCACGCCAGATCTGTGGAAATGACTGCGGGATTTTTATGCTTATGGTAGGGTATCAGTTGGCACGTTTGCAGGCTTCTGTAAACATTGTAAATATAATGCTTTGTTTTCCATCTTCTCTGTTCCAGTACACTCTGTCCATTGTTACAAACGCCGGGTTTCAATTCCAGGAGGTTAGTTTAGGATTTGTATTTACTAAAGAAGTAAATGCCTACTTAAAGTGTTGCTTATGTTGCATCATACTGTTCATGTTGAAGAAAAATGATTTATTGTGGACATTGTGAATCAAAAATTGTCTTTGTCACTTTCTAATTTCATTCAGAGGGACATGCCTTTGATTAGGAAGTGGTGGTGTCTTCTTCTCATGGAGCTGTTTGAAATACAAGGGTATGAAAGCCCTTAACAATATGTGTGTTTTGATTTAAGTAACACTTTATTTTGAGGGTCACTTGTAGATGATCTATTATATTAGGTTAACCATGTACAGATCAGTAGACCATCAGTAACAAGAGCTGTAAGACTCTGGATGGCAATATCTGTTGAGATTATTAATGCATATCAATTGTGCACCAATGCCTTAGCCTTTCCCTATGCAATACTTTAGATGACGTCTTGTTCTTATTGTTGCAAAGGCATGGCCAAAGGTTTGCCTTTTGGACTCTGGAGGCCAGAAGCTTGCTGGAGGGAACCCTTCAGCCAATATTCAGAGTGCCACGACCAGAGAGGGAACAGCAGACCCCGCCTCACCCCCAGTGAAGAATCAGCAGACCCCGCCTCACCCCCAGTGAAGAATCAGCAGACCCCGCAATACAAATAAATAAAAATGTATTCTGAACTGAAATGCCTCTTGGTCAAACTGCTTGTTTATCTTTTGCAGGCTGGTGCATGAACACACTAACAGTTGTTTTTCAGTAATCTAGCACCTCTTCGAAGACACCTTTGATTTATTAATAATAATAATAATGAAACGAGAATTATGATAATGAAACGAGAATTATGATACTGTAGAAGGAACAGTGTTTAACAGTGTTGTTTTCTTTTGAATAATAATGAAACGAGAATTATAAACATACCCAAAACTAAATTAACAGTGTTGTTTAATATACATATAAAAGACTATATTTTTGAAATTCATTTTTATTCATTTTTGAAATTCTCAACTAAATTAACAGAATATACATATAAACATTCATGTGAACGTGCAACAGAATATGGTTCCCGTCACGTGACGCGGGTCACGTGGGACCCCGTCACGTGACGCGGGACCTGTGTGTGGTTCCCGTCACGTGACGCGGGACCTGTGTGTGTGGTTCTACAAGTGTCGTCTCCGACGCTGCAGCTTCATACTATTGCGTTATTCGGCTGCGTCACGTAAATTAGCTGCCAAGCTAGCTGCCATGCGGAGCTGACTGCCACTGTGGTTTTCGCTCTGCAGTTAATGTTACGTGACGGGTGCCGCTCTGCCAGTGTCGGTAGTCGCACTCTCTGTCTCTCCGCTAGCTCTCCCTGCTCAGCATATAGTTATGTTCGGCTCTGTGTAACTGCACCCCCGGGCCAGTAACCTACATGCTGCCTGCACTGCAGTGACAAAGAGCCGGCTGAAAATCGGCAACGTTTCCTTAATATTCCTCGATTTTAAATATTGATGTCCACACATTTGCAGTAATAATGTTGTCAGGCACTTAATAATAATACGTGTGCCTATCAGTGGCAAAAACAAGCACTTCAACTTTGATTAATATAGGATAATGTAACAATTCAGTAGGGTACCGAGCCCCGTATTAATCAAAGGAGTCCCGGGAATTAATTATTAAAGACTCTGGTGCCATTAAGCTCCAATGTTATCAGTCTTTGTATCGGTACTGGAGATATTTAAAACATGTTATATGTATTATGCTACACAAACATTATATTGCAGTTTTAGTTTTGCCAACTCCGTTTTTAATATGCAAAAAGACTGCAAAATGCGTCTGATTATTTTGAGTATTTTCGATCTTTTCCAATCCAGGGTCTCTGCGAGGGGGCGTGTGAATATATAAGAGCGAGAGATTCAGTATTAGCATTGATGCTTTTGTCTTTAGGTCTACGGACCATTGGTGTGATCACCAAGCTGGACCTGATGGATGAAGGGACAGATGCACAAGACATCCTGGAAAACAAACTACTGCTGCTCCACAGAGGTGAGAACCCCCCCCCATGCACACATTTGATTAAATCCTTGATTAGAATCCAGCTATTACATTACAATATTTACAGACTTTATATACTACCCAAAACAGGGTGTCTTTTCTTTAGGGGTCAGCAAATCATCAATCTGCATTATTTTCCCTGTAATTCCTGACATTGAAATTAAACAATTACTATGGTGTTAAATTGACTAACAGCTTTATTTGTATTGTTCCACATGTGAACAGTTCTCCAATTGTAGAAGTTATAATAATTTAATATTTGGTCGCAAGTGCTTTGGAATCAACGTTTGTCTTTATTCCATAACTCACATTGAACAACTGATATTTGTCTTTCTTTAGGTTACATCGGGGTGGTGAACCGCAGTCAGAAGGACATTGATGGAAAGAAAGACATCCGCGCTGCTTTGGCTGCTGAGAGGAAGTTCTTCCTGTCCCACCCGGGGTACAGGCACATTGCAGAACGCATGGGCACACCACACCTGCAGAAGACCCTCAATCAGGTGAGACACACACGCAGGGCCGTCCCTCCCTACAGGCCGATCATGCAGGCTGGAAACTAGAGCATCACTCGAAGATGGGTTATTGTATGAGTAAAATGTCAAACTTTTGCCAATTGCCATATTAAAACATCAGCTGCAAATCACAACATGAAGAAGGCAGTCTCTGCATAGCGCATATAGGCTAATGGAGATGCAGTTATTTCCAGCATTCTTTATTTACCATTCATTCAAGTATTTTATGCCTTTTTATCTGCTAATGTAAATACATGATTTATGCAATTGCATGTCTTAAACGGACTGAACTGCTAAATCAAACCTGTGAACAGTGACATCAAAATAGCCAATCTGAGTTTTGTGGGTTTTGTTTTTTTGTTGTAGGTGAATGCAGAATTTAAGAGAATCACAACAATTAATTTGCAATCCAAGTTCTTCTCTTCGCTGGATATTCACTCTACAAGCCTGATCGACGTGTATACCAAGAAAGGTGGAGTTCAAGGGAAGAAGATCAAAAGCATCATGCTTCCCATAACCCAGGTATGAAAACAATGTAAAGGTGACAAAGAAACTGTAGGAGCTGTACAAAGTCTACGATGTTCCGTGAATAGCATAGCATCCGGAGCATTATGTTTTCGATATTATTTTGACACTTAGCACCACATCCATTCCCCCAGTGGGGGTCATTGTATCAGAGTGAGCGGCATACTATTATGAAGGCCTAAAATAACGCACTACAAAGCTGTCCCTGACAGCAGTCTTTCATGGAAATGGCAGATGTTCCTACCCCAATGGTCATTGAGTGTACTGTAGGGCTGCAGCCAGGGGCGGCGGGTACTGTAGGCTAGGGTAGGCTAAGCCTTCGCAAATATTTTTGTCACTGCATCCTGGTAAAATACAAATATAATGTTTGTGTCTTTGACATTAGCGCTGCTATGCAGCCACCAGTAAACTGTACCACGAAGCCAGTTCAACAGACCCTGGATATGTTTGAGTTATCTTAACTAACCCTAACAAACGAGATCTCGCTAAGCGGTCCTACAACGCTGGTTATCAACTCGGTAAATCAAGCCAGGGATTCTCTCTCCAGCTGAGAGCACATTTATGTGAAAGGGGCGGGGTTAGCTACATTTGACCAATCACACACAGGGACAAGTGTACTGCGCAGCATCATATTTCAGTAATGAAAAGTAAACTAATATTAGACAAATATGAGCTTTAACCATCCATGACTTAAACATATAATCCAGGATACAAGCCACATAGTTGCACCTGCAAGGTGAATATAGAACAACTCGTTAAAAAATAAATAAACTACAGAGCGTTTGAAAGCGTACAACAGTTTTATGATATCACTGCCCCATAGACACGAGTGGATCTGACTTTAATTACATTTGAGTTGAGTGTTTCGTCAACCCAATGTGTTGCTTAAAATAATACTTCTGCATACAGTATGTGACACTAAGTGTTGCACGGCCAGATACGGCTCAGCTGACTCAGATAAGGAAATATATATTATCTGATCGATGATCTGATTGATGATGTGATATGAACGATAAGTGCGACACGTCGGTGTCTTCTCTGCATACGGCAGTTTAAACTGTATTTCCTTTATCCTGTAATATGACGTGATAGATTGAAACTCTGCACACTGAGCTCTGATTGGTCACTGAGTTGATCTATTTTCTATACACGCCGGTGGCGGGCAGCGGCAGGTAAAAAAAGTTATTTAGCCTTCCCAAACCTGAGCCTCACGCCTATGACTGCAGCTATCAATTATTTTAGTAATCGAGTATTCTATCAATTATTCCATTGATTAATCGAGTAATTGGAAACAGATTAGCTTTTTAAAGCAAAAGTATTTCTTCAATAAAAAGCCATTTAAAATATTCAAAAAATAAGACAGGTCTTCTCAAATGAACAACTAATTATTTTCCTTTTTTAGAAAAATGTATTGCTTAAATTGCATAGTATATTATCTGACTAAACCCATTTAATTAAAGTGCAATATTACATTCAGGGTTTTAAAGAAAACATTTGTGAAACGGTGAAACCCAGACTGCTTGTTGTTCATAATGGGCTTTTTTATTGCATGTTCTCTGACCTGCATACTTAGACTGACAGCATTGACGTGAGACGCGAATGCATCCTCAAAGGTCTTTGTGTATACTTCAATGAAGATCCAGAGCTGGTGAAGGAATACATGGTATGTTGATGTACCTTTTTTATCTTCACAAAGAGGAGGATGATCATAGTTGGAATGGATTGTGTTTCTTCTAAAACTAACCCTTAGGGAAATGTTGCCTTTACATTTTGATGATGTTGGATGTGTTCATGCTTTTTGGAAACAGTGTTTTTTGTTCTTTCATTTTTCAATTTGGAAAACCCAAACTACATAAAGCTCAATATGACACATTATAGAAATGGGATGTAATGCACATCAGTGAAAATCACTCTCCTTATTTGTTTTTCACAGAGCATCGACAACAGCAGTCAAACGGCAATGGCAGAGACGGTCTTCGGAATATTTGTCATTCGACACGAAGGTGCAGAGCCTGGGTATGACCCCGAGAACGTTGGGATCATTCTGGAGGGGCTCGAAGTGTTGGATGAGTTGGGAAACGTATCTTTTGCGGTGGCGATGATGTTTGCTCTCGTGTATGCTCTAAACTTGAGCTACCCTCCAGAGCTGAAGTTTACATTTGAAGCACTGCAGAAAATAATGATGGAGCTAGATGGAAACAGACTATCCACAAAAGGACAAGTTCTCAAAACATTGCTTTCCCGTGCCTAATGTCGCTGTTTGGGATCGCCTCATCTTCCAAACACGCAGCCATCAGAAATTCGGTGACTCACCTCTTCGACAGAAATGTTGATTGTATGCAAGAAGTATAAAAGTAAGCATTCAAAGTTGGCTGTAGCATGGTTACGTGGACCTCACTGAGCAGAGGGCTGTGCGAGGAGGCAGATGTTACCATGTTGCCTTATTTGGTCTACTGTTGAAATTCAAGTTTGTTATACTGTTCACCCTAAAGTTGAAACATTTTAATATTTGGGAAGAAACTGTTTTTTCAAGCATCTGTCAGTATAAAGCTATTTTGTGAAATATATATTCACTGTTATATTTAATATCTGTCAGTGTAAAGCATTGTTTATCTTTGCCTATTTTGTGAAATATATATTCACTGTTATATTTAATAACAGTGAAAGCCAGTCTGCTTGTTGGCTGAGATGGTGTTCTTAATGGGCTTTTTTTATTGCATGTTCTCTAATCTGCATACTTAGACTGACAGCAATGACGTGAGACGCGAATGCATCCTCGTATTATATTTCATATCATATTTGGGAAGAAACTTAATTTTTTCAAGCATCTGAAGCATTGTTTCTCTTTGCCTATTTTGTGAAATACAATTTTATTTCAACATGTTTGTGTTGCGTTTGTGTTATGTTTCCACCCTTGAAGCTCACTAGACTGTAGACTGTTGACATTTTGTTACTGTTCACTCTAAACGTTTTAAATATGTAAACATTCAAAAGTTATTCTTTGAATGAACTTGATTAAATCATGGACAGTATTTCCACGTGATGAAATGGCTTTCTTTCAGCTTTAAGCAATTACGTTGACCCAACCCAGGTAAATTAAGTTGGTAACACACCTTATAAATAAGTAGTATCAATCCTAATAGATTACGTTGACCCAACCCAAGTAAATTAAGTTGGTAACACACCTTATAAATAAGTAGTATCAATCCTAATAGATTGCGTTGACCCAACCCAAGTAAATTAAGTTGGACCAATCAAATTGCTTAATCTTGAAAGAAAGTGATTTAATCATGTGGAAATATTGTCCATGATTTAATTACGTTCATTCAAAGAGTTATTTTTTTGAATGTAGGGCAAACGTAAAAAAACTTGGTGTAACCTTCGATCAGTCTATGCTAGACAAACACATTAAACTCCTGACCCGTAGGCCTACCTGTTTTTTCCACCTCTGAAACATTGCCAAGCATAGTCGCTGGAAGTCATTTTGCTCAGGGGGTGCTGCCAAAAGTGGGGAGGGAGCCGCTTAAAAAAAAAAAAAAAAGGCGGTGCCGGGCCGGGCCCAGCTGTCAGCGATACGAGCCGCATACATTGTTTACATTGATTTATTATTGATTTATTCAATTGATTGTGTACATTGACACGGCAGGCAAAAACATCGTTTTTCATGCACTGGTCAATTGTGAGATGTTGTGCTATTTTGATTCCATAACATGTTTTCTTTCAGGCTTTTGGAAGGAAAACGTACAAAATACACATTTAAGTGTTCATTTTACTATAGTTTGTCTATTTGCGTCTGTATATTTCTCCTAAATTCACCAAAAGTTAGCATTCTAACGTAACATAAAGTACCGCGACCGCTGTTTGCACAATGTCATCGTTGGAAAGCTGTGTCCAGGGGCGGCGGGTGCTGTAGGCTAGGGAAGGCTAAGCCTTCCCAAATATTTGTGTAACTGCATCCTGGTAAAATAAAAATATAATGTCTTTGACATTAGCGCTGCTATGCAGCCACCTGTGCCCTGTACCACGAAGCCAGTTCAACAGACCCTGGATATGCTTGAGTTATCTTAACTAACCCTAACAAACGCGATCTCGCTAAACGGTCCTACGGCGCTGGTTATCAACTCGGTAAATCAAGCCAGGGTTTCTCTCTCCAGCTGAGAACGCGTTCATGTGAAAGGGGCGGGGTTAGCTACATTTGACCAATCACAAACAGGGACAAGTGTACTGACAGCGCAACATCATACTTCATTAATGAAAAGTAAACTAATATTAGACGAATATGAACTTTAAACATCCATGATGACTTAAACATATAATCCAGGATACAAGCCACATAGTTGCACCTGCAAGGAGAATACCGAACAACTCGTTAACAAATAAACTACCGAGTGTTTGAAAGCGTACAACAGTTTTATGATACTGCCCCATCTAAAACACGAGGGGATCTGACTTTATTACATTTGAGTTGAGTGTTTCGTCAACTTAATGTGTTGCTTAAAATAATACGTCTGCATATATATGTGACAATGTAACTAAGTGTTGCACGGCCAGATACGGCTCGAGAAGCTGACTCAGATAAGGAAATATTGTGATATCGATGTGAGATCGATGATCTGATTGATGATGTGATGTCAGTGATATGACGTCGGCGTCTTCTCTGCATACGGCAGTTTAAACTGCATTTCCTTTTTCCTGTAATATGACTTGATAGATTTAAACTCCGCACACTGAGCTCTGATCGGTCAGCAGGTGGTGCTTTCACTGAGTTGATCTCTTTTCTATAGAAAAGGCGGGCAGCATAAGATGAAAAAAAAAGTTATTTAGCTTTCCCAAACCTGAGCCTCACGCGCCGCCTATGGCTGTGTCTCTCCTGCACTCTGGCAGGAGCACTCATTCAAGGGTACTATGACTATGCTTGCACGTCATGGTACCATACTCCAAGGCGCTAAAAATAAAACTTCAAACATCGCAAAATAAACTGGTCAGACTACTGCTTGACCTTTCATCTAGAACCCACCTCACCTCTGCCCACTTTGACAACCTATGGCTTAGAGTAGACGACAGAGTACAATTACTTGCAATGGGCCTGGTCTACAAGATCCACTACACCTCTATGGTCAACACATCCTCACTCCCAGGTCGGCCTATGTTGACGTTATGTCAAGTCCCCTGTCGGCTTTTTCCAACGCAAGGGGGGGGGCCTTAGCGTCCATTTTCAACGCAAGGGGGGGGCCCTTAGCGTCCATTTTCAGCTTTCCGGGATGTCCATATGCTTCTATGGACGCTCATGGAAGCAGGGCGTTCGTTTGTGTCGACTGCCTTTAAAGGCAATGTGAGCGTCCATTCTAATTGGATAACGGATAATTGTACACCCGGAAGTAAGTATTCCCCTTACTGTCGATTGATTTCACAGTGATATCTGCACTACTCATCGACTAAAAAACACCAGATTATCCTTGTTAATTACACAACATTGATTGGTTTAAATTGTGTGCAATGCTTTTGTATTTTTCCCCTTCGATTCGGAGAAACAAATATTTTTTCGGAGTAAAGGATGGTAGAAGACACTACACTACCCAGAATCCCCAGCTATCGTTTGGACTACACCATGTGCTCTGTTTGACAAACCCCGTGATAGTCCTCAAGCTCTGTGATTGGAGAGTGTGCTCCGAGGGTTACGCCGAGCCTCGAACAGCACTTGAAATGGGAGACTGTCCAAAACTGGATTTGAACGGGTCCACCATTTTGCAAATATGGCAATAGCCATCGATCAGCTTAAGATAATATATACTTTATTGATCCCAAGTTGGAACATTTGCGTTACATCAGCATGTGTAACAGTTAAATATGCAGTGGTGTTTATTTGTAAATCATTTAATATAATCACACAAATTCTGTGTTTTATATTCAACAATTCTGTGTTCTTTATTTATTGATTGTTCAATACCGGACAAGGCCGGAGATGAAATATCTACATACATCTTATAAGAGTATAATACATGATGTATAATATCAGTTAAAATAAGTGCTTCAACATAGTTAACATTGCTGGAGGTATGCACAAATATTGATAGATGTCTTGTAATGCACTATTGAGGAACCTGCGACCCAAGTTTTTCATTCAATGCATAACTACACCATAGTTGTGTGGGCCTATATGATAATTATGTCAATAAACCTTAGAACATCATGAAATCTTGAAAGGGATGTGCAAAATAGTCATTATATACAGTCTTTAATTAACTATTAGTAGAGAATAACGAGTAATGAATATACTTTATAGGGATCCTATTAATATCTAATAATAAAAATAATGAAATTCAATAACATGCTTTAACCACTAGGTGTCCCTTTATATCAGCTGTGCACCTTTATGGTGTAAATACAGCCTATCTACCAATTGGATCAAATATAAAAGTCAGCCGAATTAGTGTTGATACTGCAAGGAGACGTATTGTGTGAAAAGAAATGTAAGATGTTGTTTAATGGCTGATATATTTATGATCCACGTCACGTTTTCAGTTCCTCATGTTTGTCGAGAAGTCTTCTCATCAGGCCTCTATAAATACAGAACTACGGCAGATATGTAATATTTAATGCAGCCGAATCGTGTATTACAATGCCGTTATGTGATGACTTTCAAAGAGAAAAGCAAGCACACTCGGAATAAAGTATTATTTTTTTTTTTTTAAATGTTTTCGGTCTGTTTCCGGTATTTGTTAATGACGATGTGCTGTGAGATGTGAGACTGGAATTGCACAGGGGAAAATAACGTAGGCTATTTTTAGATGCGGATTTTGTTAAACTAATATGTTTGCGCTGTGGACCAACACTATACATTGACGGGGAAGGGGGTAGCAATAAAGATAACACCATTAAACAGTGACACAACATAACAGAAATAATATCGATAGCAGCGTCCCTAGCAACCACCTTGGTAACAATGAAAACGTTATGGACGCAATTTCCTGAAGTAATCTTCGTAATAACTAGCACACTAGTACATCCACTGCACACATAATCTGAAATAACAACTCATATTTCTCGCATCAAATGACATCAAAACGCATTTTAATGGCCAAACTAACTTTAAAATAGGCATTTTCCACCGAGAATAAAACGAAGTTCGGTCATGTTTTTTTTTTCTGGGGAGAAATTTGAAGATTACGTGACGTCAAACAGAGCACATGGTGTAGTCCAAACGATAGCTGGGGATTCTGGGTAGTGTAGTGTCTTCTGCCATCCTTTACTCCGAAAAAATATTTGTTTCTCCGAATCGAAGGGGAAAAATACAAAAGCATTGCACACAATTTAAACCAATCAATGTTGTGTAATTAACCAGGATAATCTGGTGTTTTTTAGTCGATGAGTAGTGCAGATATCACTGTAAAATCAATCGACAGTAAGGGGAATACTTACTTCCGGTTGTACAATTCTCCGTTATCCAATGAGAATGGACGCTCACATTGCCTTTAAGGGCAGTCGACACAAACGAACGCCGTGCTTCCATAAGCGTCCATAGAAGCATATGGACATCCCGGAAAGCTGAAAATGGACGCTAAGGGCCCCCCCCCCCTTGCGTTGAAAATGGACGCTAAGGCCCCCCCTTGCGTTGGAAAAAGCCGACAGGGGACTTGACATAACGTCAACATAGGCCGACCTGGGAGTGAGGATGTGTTGCTATGGTACCCATGTACATGTCAAAATTCTTCCCAAAGGTCAAGGAATACCATGATCATAACACCAGAGGGAGCTCCACAAATCATGTGAAACCCAGATTTGGCACAAAAAAGGGGGAATACACGTTTCGCAATTATGCCACATCAAGGTGGAACGCTCTTCCCACAACTGTAAAGGAAAGTAAAACTATACTTACCTTCAAAACCTCTCTTAAAGAGCACCTTCGGGGGAGAGCATTGCAAAACTGGCCCCGGTAATGGTACAAATCTCAACCTGTCGTTCAATGGACAGCTTCCCCCCCCCCCCCCCATCTATGTATATACTCGCATTTTAGACTCTGTTACTAACTGTA